TTGGGGTTTAAAAGGAGATGCTCATGAAAGGAAATTCTGATTTCAAAGGAATGAGCCTTTAATGCTAGAATTTGTATAATAGGGTAACAAAAACAGGAGGATTTTTGAGGAAGAGCCTTCTTTTTGGATTTTCCCAAACTCCCGGTCCTCCACAGAGAGACAAGTCTGTTTGACTATACTGCAAGGCAAAGGTGACTACTGCCTTTCCTTGCTTGCTGATCCATCCACCCCTCAGCCTGGTGTCCATTAAGTCCCAGGTAAGGTCCAGAGAGCATTATCTCTATCCTAATATAGAGAATAGTCCTTTCTCCTTTGCAGAACTCTGTAGGGTACACACACATGACTTTAAAAAGCAGCATGAAATGAACATGCCTATTGTTAATATGCTTTCGCTTTGATTTAGAAGAATTAGCATCCTGGTATGTAGTTGATTTTGTGTATTATTTTTTTTCTGACCTGAAATTATTGCTAGAGATGTTTTTGTATATTAGCAGGGCTACATGCTTATTCATTTTTGAACTTTTTCATATACTGTACATATGGGGAAGTATACGTTTTTTTCTTTTTTCTCTCATTTTGTTTAGGATATTCATTTTGTTTAGGATATTCATTCATGTTATGTTGTTGTTGTTGCTGTTGTGTGCCATATTGTTGGCTCCAACTCATAGTGACCCTATGTACAACAGAACAAAACACTGTGCAGGCCTGTGCTAACCTCACAGTGCTTGCTATACCTGAGCTCATTGTTGCAGCCACTGTGTCAGTCCATCTCATTGAGGGCCTTCTCCTTATTCACTGACATTCTGCTTTACCAAGCATAATAGCCTTCTGTAGGGAATTGTCCCTTCTGACAGCATGACCAAAGTAGGTGAGACAAAGTCTGGCCATTCTCACTTTCAAGGAGCATTCCGGCTGCACCTCCTCCAGGACAGATTTGTTAGTTCTCCTGGCAGTCCATGGTTCTTTCAGTATTCTTCACCAGCACCAAAACTCAAAAGCATCAACCATTCCTCAGTCCTCCTTATTCATTGTCCAGCTTTCACATGCATATGAGGTGATTGAAAACTCCAGGGCTTGGGATAGGTGCACTTTAGTCTTAAAAAAAAAAAAAAAAAAAAAAAGACATCTTTGCTCTTCAGCGCTTGATCGAGGTCTTTTGCAGCAGATTTACCCAATGGAATATGATGTCTGGCTTCTTGACTGCTGCTTCCATTGGTGTTGATTGTGGAACCAAGTAATATGGAATCTTTGACAACTTCAGTCTTTTTTCCATTTATAGTGATGCTGCTTATTGGTCCAGTTCTGAGAATTTTCGTTTTCTTTATGTTAAGGTGTAATCTATATGAAGACTATAGTCATTAATCTTCATCAGTAAGTGCTTCAAGTCATCTTCACTTTGAGCAAGCAAGGTTGTGTCATCTGCGTATCACAGGTTGTTAATGAGTGTGGCTCCATTCCTGATGCTCGCTCTTCTTCATATAGTCCACCTTCTCAGCTTATTTTCTCAGCATACAGATGGAATGAGTATGGTGAAAGGATACAACCCTGACACACTCCTGTCTTGATTTTAACCCATTTTATCCCCTTGTTCTGTTCGAACCATAGCCTCTTGGTCTATGTACAGTTTCCTCATGAGCACAACAATTAACTTTTCTGGTATTGCCATTGTTCTCAATGTTGTCCATGATTTGTTATAATCCACACAAATTCCTTTGCATAGTCAATAAAACACAAGTAAACATCTTTTCTTTGTTTTCAGCCAAGATCCATCTGACATCAGCAATGATAGCCCTCATTCCATGTCCTCTTCTGAATCTGGCTTGCATTTCTGGAAGTTCCCTGTCAATATACTGCTGCAATCATTTAAACCATTGAAACTAGAACCATGTAGTTCTAGTTTTATTATTTTCATTGCTTTGTAGTATTTAATTGTGAATCTACCACAATTTACTTATCCATTTTATCTTAAGACATTTGGGCCATTTCCAGTTGGGAGCTATTATGAATAGTGCTGCCATGAGCATGCTCGTACTTATCTTTTGGTGCCCCCATGTATGCATTTCTGTTGGCATATATCTAGGAGTGGAATTTCTGGGCCATATTTGGAATAGGCATATACCTACTTCCCATACATTATGCCAATTTTCCAAAGTGGTTGTACCAATTTGCACTTCTACCATCTGTGTAGGGAAATTCCATTTGCTTTACATCCTCCCCAACACTTTGTAGTATCATTTAAAAAAAAAAAAAAAAAAATTTTAGCTCTTCTAATAGATGTAGTTTATTTTATTGTGGTCTTCCTTTCCATTGCCTTGAGAAGTAATGAAGTTGAGCTTCTTTATTTATGTTTCTTGGTCATTTGTGTATCCTCCTTTGAGTAGTGCTTATTTACATATTTGCTATAGAGTGGTCCATCTTTTCCTTATGGATTTATAGCAGTTCTTTGATTGATTGTGGATATGAATCATTTGTTGAATGAGTGCAATGATGTACAGGAGCCTAATCATGAGAGCAGGTGGTCTGCATCTCTTCCCAATTCTGTGATCAATCACAACATGTTGGTCACTTGAAATCTGCCATGGGAAGAATGGTCACACCATGGAAATCAGCAAACAGTACAAATTAGATAGTCCTCCCTGCCCTGCCCAAAGAACTGACTTACCAGCACACCATTAGGTAAATGTATTACAAAATATCTTTTTCTAGTCTGTAGATTACCTTTTCACTCTTTTGAAGGTATATTTTGAGGAATAAAAGTTTTCAATCTTAAAATAGCCCACTCTACCAAAATTTTCCTATGTAGTTAGAGCTTTTTGTGTCCTCTTTAAGAAATCCTTGCCTGCAACTACATTTTTTATTTTATGTAGCTAGGAAGTTTATCAGTTGTAAAATAGTCTACTTTGCTTAACTTTTCCTCTATTGATGCAGGACCATCACGTACAGTTGTATAGTTGTTCACTACACAAGAGGTAACTAGAGGCTGAAATTCCACCCTTGCTCTACTCAGCAAACTATGGTTGGCATAGGGCTGCATCTCATCAGAGGAGGTGGTACCTTTTTCCAATTCTCAGAAAGATACTCTATAGGCTAGAGCTTTGACACCTTTAACCCTATGCTGTCTTTCCAGTCTGCCAAACTGAACTGCTTGCCCTTCCCCTTCACATGTTATACTTCCTGCCTCCATATCTTTGCTCTTGATATGTTTTTCTGTCTCTACATTCTCTCGTTTTAAATCTGTCTGTCAAAGGCTATCTCAAATACCCTCTGTAAGTCCGTTGCTATTTTTCCATTTTGTATTGTGATTTGAATGTCTTGTCTCCCCAACCAGGCTTTACTCCTTGAGGGTAAAGACCACACTATTTGAATCCCTGGTGGTACTTTGCCCACAGTAGGCTTATAGTAAATATGCACAAATGAGTGACCTGTTGGGTCTTGGGTTATTTCCAGCTGTGCTCTGATGGTATAGTCCTCATCTTGCCAGGGTTACCTATTCCCCTGCACTTAGGAGCCCCTGGGCCTGCTTCTCTCTCACTTTGCCTCAGCACCTACCAGTCTGCCTGCTTTTTTGCGGTTAAATAAGCAGTCTCTGTACATATCAGCTATTTTATCTGCAAAACTACAGAGTATTTTACAGGTAATCAGTTCATGCAGATTGCACATAAATCATGCCTGCTCTGGCCCTGTGGACACTAATGTTCCCTTATTAAGGCATAAGTAAGCCTTCCTGTTCTCATCCATTCTTTTGACTTAAAAAAAAAATTACTTAAAAGTATAGCCTAATGTTGCTACATGCCCCCCGCCAAACACCCCCTCCACACACCCCACCATGCACTGCTTTTTTGAGGTTCAGTTTGTTTTTCTGGAGCTTGCCAAGTTGCCTTAGGAAGCTGAGTACCTTGTGAATGGATTGAGCAAAGGGAAATTCTTATCTCCAAAAGGAAGTGGTCACCACGTTTCTGTTTGTGATATTCTTGGCCGGTTAATATTTTTGTGAAATATGTTCTGACGGCAGCACCCGGGCCCTAGAGAAGAGGGAAATATTGGTCATGCTCAGTGCACAAAAGGAAAATATCTCCTGCTGAACTCTGGGGAGTGGAGAAAAAGCCATTTCATGAGTGTCATTCTGCCTAAGTAAACAGAGAACCTTCATTGTTTTTAATCCTTTGAAAGATTCAAAGCTCAGCCCACTCTAGCATGTGCATTATTTTAATATTTCTCCATTTTCTTTTCAAACTGTAGCTACAGATCTTTGCACTAACACATGTTGATTTCTGCTTCCAATTTCCCTGGCCCTGCTATTATTAGTGTTCCGCCAGTTTTCATTTGACTCTCTAAGAGCGTGGAAGTGTACTATTATTTCCCGCAGTTTGGTCTAAAATAGAATAAAAGGGGGACTTTTTGACAGGGCCTTATAAAAGTCCTGCCATGTACTTTTAGAGATGTTTTATGAATATAAATTTCTGTCTAAATAATTACTGTTGAAGGTAAAAAGGACTTTGGAGTTTGGAAATTGTAACAACAACTTATTATTCTCTTAGGAATCACAGCAAAAGTGGCTCATCTCTTGTTTTCTTTCCAGATGGGCTGACACTATAATGCATGGTGTTGCTTTTTAGATCCCATTTTTTAATCATGTACATAGATTATAGTGGATCTGAGGCCCTCTGAAGTATTATTTTTCTCAGAAGAGAAAAAAAAAAAATGATACAGAACAGGTATGCTTTCGGTGTCATTTAAAAAAATCACAGGATGTCTGGTAATGAACGGTATCTCAACAGCAAACGAAGCCAGCCTGGGTACTGTTCTAAAATAGTTGCTCTGGTTTTCTGTCGGATATTAAGTTGTACTCTAGATTTCATAAAGGCTGAGGTCCTTTATGTTTTCTTCAGGAATGGCATGGGGTCTTTTATACTGTGGCATTTAAACACAAAATCTCAGTTAAAAACAAACCACACATTTCCCCTTCCTCATTTTATTTTTTTTTTCTCCTTTTGCTGCAGCTGCTAAAATGGGTTGTGGATTGAACAAGTTAGAGAAACGTGATGAAAAGCGGCCTGGAAATATTTATTCAACTTTGAAGAGGCCTCAGGTGGAAACCAAGATTGATGTGTCCTATGAATACCGCTTCCTGGAGTTCACGACACTGAGCGCCAGTGAGTACATACAGGATCTTGTTTTCTTGGTGACCGGGGTGAGTTTGGGCACAGCCTGGCCCCCCAGCCCTATCCAGGGACTGGGTCTTTAGCTGGGGTTCCTCTGTGCAAATGCTGACAGGGCCTGGCAGGGACATAATTGGGCAAGTAGGCGGGGTGCAGGGGTTTGGGAGGACCTGGAAAAGATGAGCCTGTCTGAAGGGGGTAGTTTATCGAAATCCAGATTTTTATGTGAAACCTCTTACTTTTAAAAAGATAGCAGCTAGTTAAAATCATGAATTAAAGTGATAACAAATCAAAACTTGGGCTAAATGATACACCTGTGTGGGCTGAGTTTGGCCTAAGGGCCACCCAGTTTGCAGGCTCTGCTCTGGTGGTACAGTGCCTAAGGCATTTGACTGCTCACCAGTAGGTTAGTGGTTCAAATCCACCAGCCACTCCATGGAAGGAAGATGGGGCAATCTACTTCTGTAAAGATTTACCACCTCAGAAACCCAATGGGGTTTGCTATGAGTCAGAATCAACTCTGTGCAATGGGTTTGATTTTTGGTTTCATAACAAACCCCATGGAAAAGAAAATTTTCCTTATCTCTTCTTTGTGTGCCCACCCAAACCCACCTGCCTGTTCTCTGCCATCTTTTAAGAATGCTTGTCTGTCTGAGTGTGGCTTTGCCTCACATGTGCCCCAGGGTGTCTCTGTCACCTGCCCCTCCTAGTGTCCTGAGGTCTGAGCAAACGAGGAGTGACCCTGAGGTGACTGGCAAGGGATGGCCAATTTAATAATTCCAGAGCATTTGCTGAGCCCCTCCTGAGTGCAGCGTCAGGCTGGTGCTGTGGGGAAGTTGTGAGGTGTGTCCTGGTTTCCTGGAGTTTCTTCCATAGTGAGGGAGAGGAGATGCATACCTATGGGGAGAAAAAATGAACAGATTATATTGTAAGGAGGAAAACATGTAAAATGTGTTTCAGAGGTGGGAACACTCTTTCTTTGGTAGAAGTGGGTCCCAGGAAGTGTGGTGGTGTAGTACCTAAGGCATTTGACTGCTAACCAGAAGGCTGGGGATTCAGACTCACCAGCCACTCCTCAGAAAGAAGATTGGCAATCTACTTCCATAGTGATACCACCTCGGAAACCCAAGGAGGGGTTGCTATGAGTCGGATCTTACTCCATGGCAGGGTGTTTGTTTTTTTGGTTTATGTAACGAAGGCATTTGAAGGCACTATCTCCCTGGGCTTCTAGGTATATTATAACCTTCAGTTGACAGAAAAGAGAATTAATGGTAAGAGCCTTTGTATTAGTGTCCTAGGGTTGCTGTAATAAACCACAAACTATGTGACTTAAAACAACAGAAATTAATTCTCATTGTTCTGGAGACCAGAAGTCTGAAATCAAGGTGTTGGCAGGTTCATACTCCCTCAGAAGGCTCTACTAAAGGATCCTTTCTCGTCTGTTCCAGTTTCAGTCTGTTCCTGAACTTATAGTAGCATAACTGTGGTCTCTGGCTCTGTGGTCACAGGCTGTCTTCCCTCTGTGTCTGTCTGTCTCTGTGTCTTCTCTTTTATAGGGACATCAGTCATCAGTCATTGAATGAAGATCCACCCTATTCCAGTATAACCTCATATTAACTTAACTCTTTACATTGTCAAAGACTCTTATTTCCAAACAAAGCCACATTATTTATAGGTACTGGGAACCACGACTTCACTACACTGTTTTAGGGGGCACAGTTTAACCCCAAACAGACTTCAGACTTCTGGGTTTGAATTGTGGCTTTGCTGCAGCGTAACTGGGAAAATCACTAAACCTCTGAGGCCTTCAGTGTCCTCATCTATGAAATGAGCCTATGAATATCCACCTCATAGGCCAGTTGTGAAGATTAGAAGAGGGACTATGTGTGAAACTCTTGGCACAATGGCTGGCACAGACTAATATTACTAATATTACTACTGTTGATATTATTACTAAAATTACTACTGTTACTATCATTCCTCCTCAACTATTACTCCCACTTCTCTGCTGGGTCTATAGGCAGCTGAGTACCTCTGCAAGAACATTCTCTATACCCCTCCAAGTTACCAACATCCAGCCCAGCATTGTCCTCATCAAATTAGTTCCTAGAGCTGTCTCTGCTAAATGATAGCATCATCCTCTTCAGTAGTCAGACTTGAACCCTTGGCCATCTATGACTATTCCTTTTGCTTGCCCACACTGAAAATGCTTACAGCAGAGCTAATGTGAAGTTGAATAAATCCAAACATAAACATATTTAAGCTATTTGGTCATCCATTTATTTGTTCAGTAAATATTGACGTGTCTACAACGTGCTAAGCATGTGAGTGATTAAAGGAAAAAATAAAAGCATGCATAGGAAACAACATCAGAAGGAAATATATCAAAATGCTAAATATTGATTGTTAGGATGGTGAGATGGTAGGGGATTATTTTTCTTTTTTTGAATTGAGCTTCTATTTCTTTTATTATTAAAAAGGCTAGTGTTGCTCATAAAACCTTCAGGAGTAGGTCCCCTTCCTTGTCTGTCCATTGCTTCATTGCTCGTGAATCTGAATTGTTTCAGTAACCTTTTTTGCCTCCTGCTTCCTTGTCCCCAGTCTTAGCATCTGCCCTGCTTTCCATTGTGCTTTCTTTGATTGGTTTTTTGTTTGATTCAGTTTTTTGTTTTCTGACTATAAAATGAGCTTATGCCCATTGTAGAAAACTTGAAAAACACTGGGAAAAATCGCAGCTGACCTCCCTGCTTCTGCCTTTGTCCTCCCACGGGCCAGGTCTCTACCCTGCTCAAAGCCCTCCCGTGCTCCTACCTCCCACCAAGTGACACCCACATTCCCTGGCCTCCTTCTCCTGCCATTTGTCTTATGTGTTCTGTTCAGTCAGCCTTTGTGTTGAAACCCTGGCCTCCTTCCTCTTGGCTTTTGCACTGTCTGGTCCCTCTCCCTAGAAGTCCTTCCCCAGATATACACATACCCTTGGCTTACCTCCCTCTCCCCGCTTCATGAAACCTTCTCCACCCACCTATTTAAAATGCCCACCTTACCCCCACTGCCCTATCCCTTTCCCTGCTTAATTTTTCTCCATAGCACTTCTTACCGCCTATATATTGTACTAACTATTTATTTTGCTTATTGTAATTTGTTTGCTTGTTTGTTGTCTGTCTTCCTTCATTAGAAGGTAGAATTCCTTCCTGTGAGTGCAGAGATTTTGTCTAGTTTATTCTCTGTTGCATCCAGCATGCTTAGAACAGTGCTTGGTACATAGTGGATAATCAATAAATAGTTGTTGAAAAACATTTGATGTATATTTTTGTATCTTGCTTGTTACCACGTAATATTGCATAGCAAGTCACATACCCTGTCATTGCATATTTTCTAAAAATATGATTTAATGGCTGAGTGTGATTTAATCACACTGTGTACCGTAATTTATTTAGCAGTTCCCTTTTATTGGGCATTCAAGTTATTTTGAGCTTTGGGCTGCTATAAATAATGTTGTGATAAGTAATGCTGTACATAAATCTTCATGCACGTTTCTGATGTTTTCCTCAGGAATTACTCAGTTGAAGGATACCAGTGTCAGGACTCTTGATAAATTGCCAAATTGTCCTTTAGATAGGAACTCTTTGTGTCAAACACAAATCTGATCATGTTCAACCCTTGAGTTGGTTCCCCTGATAAATGAAGTTGAGGTTCAAGCTGGCACTCAGGACTTTTGGAGCTTGGCCTTGCCCTTTGCAGACTCTCTCCCACATAGCCCTTGAGGACCCATGTGCTGTGGCTGCTGCATTCTCACTCCCCCCTAACAACCCCTTTTCCTAGCTTCCCTGCCTTAGCTCGGGGGGTCCCTGCTGCATAGGGCCACAGCCCTCCCTACTGCTGGCCAGAACCCCACTCCCTCTTCGAGGCCAAACTGAAATTGTTCTTTCTTGACATCCATCAGTCCCATCAGAATTACTCTTTTCTGCACACCAATTGTTTGTTAATACCTCTCTTATGACACTTTTATTACATCATATATTAAACTTATTTGTGTTTCCTTGAGGGCAAAGACCAAGCCTTGTTCATCTTTCTGTGCTCCAGCCAAGAATAGTGAGAATAAGAATAAAACCCAAATGAAACCCACTGCCATTGAGTTGATTCTGACTCATAGAGACCATATAGGAGAGAGTAGAACTGCCCTATGGGGTTTTGAAGGCTGTACATCTTTACAGAAGCAGACTGCCTCATCTTTCTCCCCCAGAGAGGCTAGTGGGTTTGAACTGCTGACCTTTTTGGTTAGCAGCCAAAAGCCTTAACCACTGCACCACCAAAACTCCTTGAGAATAAGAATATTGTTGTTGTTATGTGCTATTGAGTGAGCTACAATGCATAGCAACCCTGTGTACAACAGAATGAAACACTGCCCAGTCCATTATATCAGTGTTTCACTGCTGTTCATAAGGTTTTTACTGGTCAGTTCTTTGAGAAGTGGATGGCCCCTTCCTTCTTCTGAGTCTTAGTCTGAAAGCTCCGCTGAAACCTGTCCACCACAGGTGACCCAGTGCCATAGCCTCCAGCTTCACAGTAACACACAAACCACCACAGTATGACAAACTGAAAATGCGTGGTGAGAATAAGAACAGGGTGTCTTAAATAGTAGGGTTCTAGTAAACCTATCAGGAGCTTTGGTAGCTTAGTGCCCAAGGCATTTGACTGCTAACCAGAAGGCTGGCGGTTCAAACCCACCAACCACTCCTCGGAAGGATGGTTGGGCAATCTACTTCCGTAGTGATACCGCCTCAGAAACCCCAGGAGGGGTCGCTGTAGTCAGATCTGACTCGACGGCAGTGAGTTTGGTTTTTTGGGTTTTTTAGTAAGCCTGTAAAGTAAATATTTGTTGCATGTGCTGACTGATTTCTCTGGCACCCTCCCAAGTTGTTGTTGTTATTTTTTCCCCCAGAGGTTCTAATAAGATCATTCCTTATTGTTCCAGAAGGGGCATTTGTTGCGTG